TTTAGATTTGAGACTTGCTGTGTCTAAGAGATTAACATTGAAATCCCCAAGCAATATCAGTGCATCCCGACTAGAAAAAGAGGAGATGGAGTCTGTAATAGCATCCAAGAATACTCCCACATCCTGCCAGGGTGGTCTGTAGGCAGTGCCAATTATAACTCTTTGCCTATTTATGCACACCTTCAACCACATCTGTTCCACTCCAGAGTCATTTGGATGCTGACAAAGACGAGCATTGATACCCCTACGGATGTAAAAACCTACCCCGCCACCACGTCCACCGCGCACACTGTCCGGTCTAGGGATATGTCTCAGCCGATAACCCGCAAGCCTCGGCGCCCTATCGTCCTCCCCAGCCCTCAACCAGGTTTCATTAATAGCCAAAATATCTAGGTCTAATTCATCCATTGCCACAACCAACTCGTCATGTCCCGTGCCGAGAGACCCCGCATTAAAGAGTCCAACCATAAAGTTCTTAGATTTTAGCTCTGTGTACCAGTAGTTTGAATTGCAGTCACAGAAAGGACAGTAACAGTTGACTTATTTTTATACAAATATGTAGTGGAACTTTGAATCAAGCAGTGTGTGAAAATGAAAACATATACAAAATTAACAAAATAAAAACAGAATGCCTTGCAATTAACACAAACTTGGTCTAGATTATAAATAAATTTAGTGAAAATTGATAAAGTAAGTAGTAATAGTGTAGTTTTTACAAATATAGTGAATGAGAATAAAAAATAATTTATTTTCTTGTATGCTACTCGTAAACTAAAATAAAATTGCTGGTGGTTATAAAAATATTCAGATATGCAATTAACGAAAAACAAAGTATGTACTATGCTATCGACTGAGTATAATGATGGTACACAAAAGCAAACACCGAGTCACTTCTCAAGAGGTCCCAACACACGTTCGATATCCGCTTGGGACCTGATTTGGTGAACGGATGTTCCATCCGCCTGACGGATGTACACTCGACCTCGCTTCGTCCACGAGTACCTCCACTGCAGCTTCTTGCACTGCCCACGGACGAGATGGAAAATCTGCCGGTTGTGGCGTGTGAGTCGCTCATTAATGTACACGCGATGCTCGGTAGGAGCGGGCGCGGAGGCCACTTCCCCGTCTCCTTCGACAGGTGCAGGCGCAGGCGCTACGACATTGCGACGCACGCGCGCAGCCTTCAGCAGGTCGTCGCGCAAGTGGCGGCGCGTCAATCGCACAACCACACGGCGCGGCCGCCCACCCGCCTCCGAAGGGGGGCGCGCCCACGCGCTCTGCAAACACCACGTCCCTCGGCTCCAACGCGACGCCTAGTCGCGCGGCGAGGACGGTCACCGTCTGGACTACGCTTACACCTCTCTCCTCTGGAAGCTCGCCTATCTCAAGGTCTGTCAGGAGGGCCTCCTGATCACGTTCGTTGAGCTCCTGTTTTAGATCAGCGATGGTGCGCTCTAGCTCCGAAGTGTCGCTTGTGCTCATTTCCGCCTGTCGCTGCTCCACCAGACATAACCTCTGTTCAAAGTTGTCCAGTCTTACTGACAGAGATTCACGCAGAATATTCATTTCCTTACGGAACTCTCGCATTTCTGACATGAAAACGGCCAATTCCCCATGGCCACAGTCTGCTACGGTGTTTTTAGCCCCGCCGGAACCCTCCGGGGTCAACACCGCCGAGGTGGGCAACGCGTCACACATTCCCTTCACCGGCGTCTGGCTGTTATCGCCTTTTCGGATATTTTTTTTGCAGTTTGGACAAACCCAATCTCTGCTAATATCAGCCTTGTCCGGCAGCGCCAAACACGCCTTATGGTATTTTAACGGGCAGGCGGAACAGGCAGCGCTACCCGTCGCCGATACAAATCTACCGCAAGCTCCACAGTTAGCCATGACGTTGAAGAAAAAAAAAATTAATAAAATAGCAGCAAAAAACAAGCACTAAGCCAAACTAACAAAACGCTATACCAGCAGTAAGCTCCACAGATAGCAATCTTCAAAAAAAAAAAAAAAAAGTTTGTCTTGCTAACCATAACCTTTTAAAATTTGACCATTTTCCGAAAGTTTTGAACACAGCAACACTCAATTGATTTTGACACTGTCAAAATCAAAATGACACTGTCATTTGATTGTGACACTAGATATACAGTGGATACGAGGGTACTTGAAAGTAATAAGCAGTATGTGGGTATATAATGTTTACTTAGCTCCCTTTGTTTTAGTGTCCACGGCGAGAAAAATGCTTATAACACTGTCACTGGTGCCGCTAACAATAATTCACACGATAACACTATAGTGAACACCTTATTAGTCGTTTAATATATTTTTAATTTAAGCGTATAAAGAATGACTATTACGTTTGAGCAATGTTGCCAACCTCCGTTGTTTAGTGAAGTCTATACATCAGACGATGTAAATGTTGCCTGTAATATTTTTATTGAGACTGTCAAATTATTTCATGACTTATGTTTCCCTATAAGCAAATATTAATAAAAAGTAAGAAAAAGTAAAATGGGTATCTAGAGTGTTAGGACTTGTAGCAAAAAGAAGCGAGAATTGCTTTGGAGAATATAGGTGTTGTCCAACTGAAGCAAATAAACTGATTCTCAACTATTGCCAGCGGTACAAAAAATTATTAATTTAACAAAGAGGGCACAAAACGATCACTTCATAAAAGCAGCTATTAATAAGTCAAAAGCGACCTGGCAAATAATAAATAAGAATAAAAATCAGTATCCACAGGAAACGATCCAACATTTACTTAGAGATAGAATGGAATCTCTGATCCTTTGCATGTGCCAATATGTTTAACAACCATTTCGTAGACTCTACACTAAAACAAAAAAATGTAATTCTACGTACAAAATACCTACAAAACTTGAAAATTCATATTCTTGCCTGAAATTACACCAGAAACTGTTAAAAAACCATAAGATCATTAAAGAATACATCTAGTGTAGGTATTGATGGTATCCCCACTAAAGTAATTAAAGAAAATTTAGACTCTTTGGCTCTTCCTTTAACATTTCTAATTAATTTAAGTATTAACTGTGGAATATTCCCTGAAGTAATTAAAACTTCAATTATTAAGCCGATCTTTAAAAAAGGAGATAAGTCGGATAAAAAAACTATAGGCCTATTGCTCAGTTGCCAATATTCTCTAAAGTATTTGAAAAAATAATACATGATATGATATATAATTTCTTTGAAAAATATAATGTGTTAGTAAATGAGCAGTTTGGTTTCCTAAAAATAGAAATACTCAAAAGGCAATATATAGTTTACTTGATATAATAAAGACCTCTGTGGACAAAAGACAACATGTTTGTGCCATTTTTATGGACATGACCTGTGCTTTTGACAAGTTGATCATAAGTTACTATTGGCCAAACTCTATGCTTATGGGTTAGAGCGAGCTCTTAAATTAATAGATCGTATTTGATAACAGGAAACAATATACTGTTATAACTAATTCTGCAAAAAAAAACAAAATTATTAGGGAAATTATGTCTCTATGTAGAGATGTAGAGGCTGTGTGCCTCAAGGTAGTATATTAGGACCTTTGTTCTTTAATGCATTTATAAATGACTTTCCAAATTCTATTGACCATCCCATGATTTTATTTGCTGACGACAGTACTGCTGTATTCAATGTAATAATGAACAAGACTATGAAAATGACATTAATAATGCTATGGAAAAACTAACAATTGGATAGTCCAAAATAACTTGTGCCTGAATAGTAAAAAAACAAAAGTAATACACTTCAGACAAAAGATTGAAATACCCTCATAGCTTTAAAGTGCAATGGTGAGGAATTGAACTGTCACTGAAACGAATTTTTTAGGTCTGCAAATGGATTATCAGGTTAATTGGAAATCTCACACTGAGAAATTATGTAAGAGAGTGAGTAGTTCAATTTACGCTCTATACAAACTCTCCAAGGTATCTAATAGGGACACTGTTTTGACTGCATACCGAGGAGTTGAAAGTATCTTACGGTATGGAATAATTTTCTGGGAAATTCTGTGAATAAAACTCTTTTATTCAAACATCAAAAAAGGTGTATAAGAGCGGAATTGCCTCAAATCGACGGATAGCTGCAAACCATTTTTCATAAGCATGAAAATCCTGACTCTGCCTTCGCTGTACATTATGAAGTAGTTGTTTTTGTGTTATGTAACAATTCTCTGTTTCCGACACTCTCAGAAAGAAAACCCAGATAGAAATCATCGTCACTGAATAGGATTTGCGCTCCTTCATTAAAACCGTACATGTTAGTAGTAGCTTCTTTGGATGGCTCACAGAATATTCAACAAGGTTCCGAGTTGTCTTAAATCACTACCGATAAAGACTTTTAAAAAGCGTCTGTTAGCATTATTAGTTGAAAAAGCCTACTATACAGTTGAGGAATTTTTAAATGACAAATCTTGTGATTAAATCGGACATGTCTTTTATAAAAGCAGTTCTCTATTATAAAATTTAGACATATTAAAATTGCCAATTCAGAAATGTGTATTTATTGCTATTTTGGACATTTTGCTTATTATTCTATTAAAATTTGACTATTAGTATGACAACTTTATGGCTTATCAAATTATAATTAATTTATAATCTACTTTGACCATATCTATTTATACCTTAATTAAGGTGGAAATGTAGTGATACTAACAAAAAATTTATATACCATGTATACTAACCTATGTTTCACAAATAAAATTCTGATTCTGATTCTGATTCTGATCTGAAGCCAGCCGAGTGCTGACCATCTCCCCTATGCTGATCATAAGGGAGCGTTTCAGCTCCTCAGTGGCCTCCGTTGTCAACACTGCTGTTGCGCTCGGTGCGCCTTCTTCAGGATGTCCACGTCCTTTTTAGGGCCTCGACTTCCACTCTTAGGCCCTTGTTCTCCTCTCCAAGTCGGTCAGCCTTCTCTCTCTCCTCCTTGAGCCCAACGGTAAGCGACCTCACGTACCATTCATTTCCCTGGTCCTACTGTAACACCGACGCCTCTCCTCCTGGTTATCTGCTAGGAGCTCCTGCGCTACATCGTCGAGCTCATTCCGGCAAGCGAGCATCTCCTGCATCGTCATCTCTTTCTTGATGTTATCCCGGGTGACCGTCACCGTTCTCACGTCTTGCTCCTCCGGAGCGCTTGGCAAAGCTTCGGGCCCGCCCTTGCTTCGCTTCGCCTGCTTCACTATCCGCGATGGCATAGCTTCTTCCTCCTCCATGTCGCTATCACCACCGCCTCTCAAACGTAGGATGTCTACACCATCCGAACTCCCTTCATACGCCTCGGTAACATGTTTCCCACTGCGGGACCCGGTAATCCCGCAGCGCCGGTGGCCAGCCGGAGCGCATAGGCCGCTAGTGACCAATTTCTCACCCTGGAGCCCAGCTACCCCAGAGCGCCCATCGTCAGCGGGAGCGTATGACATATAACCTTCAAAAAACGACATTCTCATGATTTTTCCCTCTTCCGGGCGAGGGAGCCCTACCTGGCCTCGTCAAAAGGTAATTTTTGAAAAGGTTTTCTTCCTTGCGGCCCCCGCCCCGAAGGGCGGCGGCCCCCGGCCCCACACTACGTATGGGCTACGGGTTGGCCGGAGGCGACGCGGAGTTCGCGCCGCAACCGCCCTCACCGATGGCGTTTCCGCCTCGACCAGAGTCTCGACCACCGCTACCCGGGCTGCCCGGGCGCCGGTCGAGATACCCTCAGGTGATTTTTGAAGAGGTTGTCTTCCTCGCGGCCCCCGCCTCCAAAGGAAACAGTTCCTTTGCAGGCGGCGGCCCTCGGCCCCGCACTATGTACAGGGTTACGAGTTTGACCCGACTGCCGCTACCCGGGATACCCAGGACGCCAGCCAGGTCTCCACAGCTGGGTATGGTCCACGCCGGCCGAAGCCGGTACCTCCCATCCGCCACCCGAGAGGACGCGCCCGATAGCAGACCCAGCTACACTGCCACGGGACAGGAGAAGACCCCTGCCCCGATGACGACCCCTGGCTCGCTGACGACTCCCGCCTCGCAACCACTACGCGAGCCCAGGCCCAGGAGAGTCATGGGACAGCATCAAGACGAGTCAACCACAACACCCAGCACATCTGCCAACACGGTTGTAGATCGAAAAAATGGGGTTTAGTGGAGCGGCTGTACCGACGGGAGAGCCGGTAAGGCAAAAACACACTTACCCTCCAATTACCACATATTCGCAGGCTGTGGCCACCCCCCTGCCCCACCCCACACAACTACCGCCGGAAGCTCAACTGCCCCGCCTACTCACCATACAGCCAGCAACGTGATTATCGCACCGCAGACTGCACCCACAACCGATAACGCTACTCAACAGCCTAGCAACGCAGCACCACAACGCGATAAAGGTACCCCCCACTCATAGTGGAAAAGCTCCCCAACTGGGCCGACCACTTTAAAACCCTACACGACCGCCTAGGACGGCCGCCCAGCGCCAGGCCATTCGGTATGGGATGCGCTTTTCTCCCGCGGATGGCGATGAGTACCGATTCATCCAAGCGTACCTATCCGAATTGGAAAAGGTGCAGCCGGATCTGAGTTGGTACTCATACGCCCTCCCGGAGGAATGCAGCCTTAAAGTGGCCATCAGAGGACTGCCATACAATACGGAGCCGATACAGATCCGAGAAGCCATAGCCGCAAAGGGCTTTAAAGTCGAACATGCGAAAGCAGAGGGCAAGGGGCAAGGGCGGGACGCCCTGGATGCATATTTTCGCTGCGCTGCAAAAAACACCAGGTTTGATTCCAAACATATACGCTGTTAATGAACTTTTATGCATGTCTGGGATCACAAGCGAGGCGTGGAGAGGAAAAAAGGGCCCCGCGCAATGCCACAGGTGCCAAGGCTTCCGACATTCCTCTAAGGGATGCCATCGGCCCTTGGCTTGCGTGCGCCGTGGAGAGCCCAACGCCGACTCCGATTGCCCCCGCCCACGCACAGACGCGGCTACTTGTGCCAACTGCGGAGGCCCACACCCGGCCAATCACTCCAGCTGCCCCATTATTAGAAAAGAAGGAAGGAACAAGAGGGCCACCACCGTCGCTAAAACTGGCCCCTCTGCCGGCCCGATCACCAAGGCCGCCATCCACCACACTGAGGTGAGTGAAACCGCCACAAACTCACTGATGGCCCCGGCGAACAATGCCAAAACAAAAGCACACGTAGCCCAGACGGTATCTCAAACTACCCACCGAAGAAAAAAAAAGAGGAGGGAAAAGCCGTGCCAAAAGCTCTGCTACAACAGACCACGCCCCCAAAGGTGAGACAGAGACAGCGATTCAGCGGTGCTTCCACCAATTTACGGCCCAAAATTCCGGCCGCTAAAGATAGTTTACTGGAATGCGCAATCGCTCACGAGTAAACGTCGCTTGCTCGCGCATTTTTTGCAAGAGCATGACGTCGACATCGCACTCGTGAGCGAAACCTTCCTCAGACCGGGCACTGCCTTTAGCGTCCGGAATTACACGACGTACCGGAAAGACGAGATAGATACCGGAGGGCAGACCACACCGAGGACTGTTGATCCTTGTACACCAGAGGATTATCCACCAGCTGGCCCCAGACGTACAATTACGCACGATGTATGCAATCGGGATTGACTTAAGCCTCGAGGGCACAGTCACTCGCTTTTATGCCACATACAGACCGCCCCAGACCAGCTTTGACGTTAAGGAACTCCGGGACCTCCTCCACCCCTTACCTACTCTAGTGGCCGGAGACCTTAACGCCAAGCATACTTATTGGAACTCCGCTAGCATAAACACCGCAGGGAGGATACTATACACAGATGCATTAAACCACGAATACACAATTCACGGCCCGGACGAACCGACGAGATGATTCGAACGGACACGGTGACGTCCTCGATGTGGCAGTCACTAGGGGTATAGACGCACCGATCCAACAAGAGGTCATGATGGACCTACCGTCGGACCACAGACCCGTCATGATAAGGTTAGAAAAGATGCCAACTAACATACAAATCCCCGCACCGCGCCGCATTGACTGGAAAAAAATTCAGTCCGAGGCGGCGCAAAACACTCTCACTCGCCCCATCAACACGCCCACCGACGTTGACGATGCAACAGCGAATTTCACCACTGCGATCCAGGCTGCGCTAATAACAGCTTCACGCACCCGAACAGTAGGTAACAATAACACCACTTTACCAAAACCAATGCATCGGGACATGATGGTCTCAATATAGATATGATCAGGCTCACCTTAAACACGACTTTACCTATTATTACTCACATGATAAATAGGTCCATAGAGACGCATACCTTCCCTTCGCTATGGAAAAAGTCTCTCATCAGACCAATACCAAAAAAGAGTTCAGCAGAAGAATTAAAAGACCAATCTCTATATTGACATTATTATCAAAGGTATTGGAAAGAGTGGTCTTGGGGTTGGGGTGTTGGAGTTGGGGTGGGGGTAAGCTTAACACCAGTAAAACTTTCCTTTAGTCAGGGTTGGTTTAAGCGTGCCCCTTTTTCACACACCCTTCTGGCGTGTGATTAGGCGAAGGGCTTTAGGGGAGAGCGCAACAGTCGTGTAGATCCCTAAGGCAAGCCAGGTAGTCATCCTTCCCGTGGTTGCCACCCCGTTAAGCATTGCTCATCCTTTTGATGAGCAATGCAACCGAAACTACCTGACGCATTCTTCATAACATAATCGACGTTTGTGGTCACGCCGACATGGGCCGGTCATCCAAAAAACCAGGATGGCAGGTTTCAACTGACCACCCGCGTGTTTGCCGTGCGTGGAGACCCGTGCGGAGGGATGAAGGGAACCTGGAGGTTGAGCTGTAGGTAACCACCACAGCAACACACCTCTTTGGCCCTGATTTCTTCCTAAACGGGAGGCCTTGGAACTAGCCAACCAGGGTCAATCGGCTATGACCTTCCCGTTAAAAGGAAGTCAGGCGAGGTCTCTGAACCGCTGGGAGCATTTGGCCCGGTCGCGGATCCATACGACAGTGTGGACAACCAAGACTGGTCACCGGATGTCAACCCACGGGGCTGGAGACCTATATTCCCAGGGTATCTCTGGCGTCTGCACACGACATTGTGTGCAACGTCCCCACTTTGCGGGCTCCAGGGAGGGTGGAGAGCCGCTGGGAATGAAGACGAACAACCAACACATATGGATATCTTAAACTCAAAACATATGAACAAAACCACCAAGCCCGCTGCATCTTCGGAAGCGCAGGCTACACACCCAAACACGGCAGCGTCCTCGGATGCGCCAAAGCCCGCTGCATCCTCGGAAGCGCAGGCTAAACACCAACACCCACACATGGTCGCATCTTCGGATGCGCCTAAGCCCGCTGCATCTTCAGATGCGCAGGCTATACACAGTGACACAAACACCGTCACGAGGCGGGAGGTCATGGACCTGTCTGCTATCGGTGCCGCAATCCCTGATGTTGCCCCGAAAGGGGTTGCATCCTGGAACGTGGAGGTCCGAAGTAGAAAGGACTCTGGCAAACCGCCCGTGAAAACTACCAAAGGATCACTGCCACCGCCGAGGGCGCCCTTGGCTGATGTACCATCGGCAAAGGAAGCCCGCAATAAACGCCGCGCGAAAGCGCGCTTTATGGCGAGACAGATGCGCGCGTCAGGGGTTGGAGGGAGTAAGCAGCCAGAGGCCGCTGAAGAGCCCGCAAGGACTCACGCTGCCGGAGTAGATAAGGAACCCGCTAGTGCGACTGGTGCAAACCGGCCCGCTGGTGCGGAACCTGTTGAAAAAGCACTTCCGACTCCGGACGATGCGCTCTCGAGCAGCGAACTGACACGACCCCGTGGCAAACGGTCGGGACAGGCCAGAAACAATCGGCCAAAGAAGTCCAGCTCTAAACCAGCAAAGCGAGGACGTCCCGACGACACCTTATCACCCAGAGGGGACACCAAAAGGCCCAGAACAGGTCCGAAAAGCTCCGCCGTGAATTACGCAGACGCATTGAAGGCCAATGACCTCTGCGTCGCCGTAATGATGGAGCCTTTCCAGGACCTAACCGAGGCACAAGCTACCAAGATCGAGGAGAACATCGAAGACGCCCTGGACGAGCAGATCTACAAGCCATCCACCACGGCGACTCGTTCACCTGCTTTCCGTGGCAAAGCCTTCTGGTCGGAAGGCGTCCTCAAACTATGGTGCGAGGACGACTTTTCGCTGGAA